ATCACATTTTCCCCAAATTTTTTGTATTTCTGCCCTAGGGATTTCCTTTTCAGTCAAATACATAAAAGTTATTGTAAAAAGGCACCAAACTGTGAAATTTCAAAAAAGTTGACCATCTGGTTTGGTCTAGGAATTATTACAAAGTTTATTTTTTCCAATGCCCAATACCTCTAAATTTGCCATATTACGGCATACATTTTGTATTTATCGGCGCAGATGAATTATTTTAGTAAAAAAAAATAACGATGTTTAATTAGCTCACCTGAGCTGAAAGCTCAAGTGAGCTTTTCTGATCACATTTTGTCTGTAGTCCGTCTGTCTGTCTGTCTGTCTGTCTGTCCGTCTGTCCGTCCGTCTGTAAACTTTACACATTTTCGACTTCTTCTCCAGAACCACTGGGCCAATTTCAACCAAACTTGCCACAAAGCATCCTTGAGTGAAGGGGATTCAAGTTTGTTCAAATGAAAGGCCACGCCCTCTTCCAAGGGGAGATAATTAAGAATTGGTGAAAATTTGGTGTCATCTTTTAAAAATCTTCTTCTCAAGAAACATTGAGCCAGAAAAGTTTATACTTATGTGAAACCTTCATTACATAGTGTAGATTCAAGTTTGTTCAAATCATGACCCCCGGGGGTAGGGTGGGGCCACAATGGGGGATCAAAGTTATACATAGGAATATATAGGGAAAATCTTTAATAATCTTCTTCTCAAGAACAACAAAGCCACAGTTAGTCATATTGATATGGAATCATCCTCAGGTAGTGTAGATTTAAGTTTGTTCAAATCATGACCCCCGGGAGAAGGGTGGGGCAACAATGGGGGATCAAAGTTTTACATAGGAGTATATAGGGAAAATCTTTAAAAATCTTCTTCTCAAGAACAACAAAGCCACAATTAGTCATATTGATATGGAATCATCCTCAGGTAGTGTAGATTCAAATTTGTTCAAATCATGACCCCTGGGGGTAGGGTGGGGCTACAATGGGGGATCAAATTTTTACATAGGAATATAAAGGAAAATTCTTTAAAAATCTTCTTCCCAAGAACAACAAAGCCACAATTAGTCATATTGATATGGAATTATCCTCAGGTAGTGTAGATTCAAGTTTGTTCAAATCATGACCCCCGGGGGTAGGGTGGGGCCACAATGAGGGTTCAAAGTTTTGTATAGGAATATATAGAAAAAAAATCTTCTTCTCAAGAACAACAGAGTCACAATTAGTCATATTGATATGGAATCATCCTCAAGTAGTGGTGGGGCCACAATGGGGGATCAAAGTTATACATAGGAATATATAGGGAAAATCTTTAATAATCTTCTTCTCAAGAACAACAAAGCCACAGTTAGTCATATTGATATGGAATCATCCTCAGGTAGTGTAGATTTAAGTTTGTTCAAATCATGACCCCCGGGGGTAGGGCGGGGCCACAATGGGGATCAAAGTTTTACATAGGAATATATAGGGAAAATCTTAAAAAATCTTCTTCTCAAGAACAACAGAGCCACAATTAGTCATATTGATATGGAATCATCCTCAGGTAGTGTAGATTCAAATTTGTTCAAATCATGAACCCCGGGGGTAGGGTGGGGCCACAATGAGGGATCAAAGTTTTGTATAGGAATATATAGAAAAAAATATTCTTCTCAAGAACAACAGAGTCACAATTAGTCATATTGATATGGAATCATCCTCAAGTAGTGTAGATTCAAGTTTGTTCAAATCATGACCCCCGGGGGTAGGGTGGGGCCACAATGGGGGATCAAAGTTTTACATAGAAATATATAGGGAAAATCTTTAAAAATCTTCTTCTTAAGAACAACAAAGCCACAATTAGTCATATTGATATGGAATCATCTTCAAGTAGTGTAGCTTCAAATTTGTTCAAATCATAACCCCCAGGAGAAGGGTGGGGCCACAATGGGGGATCAAAGTTTAACATAGGAATATATAGGGAAAATCTTTAAAAATCTTCTTCTCAAGAACAACAAAGCCACAATTAGTCATATTGATATGGAATCTTCCCCAAATATTGTAGATTCAAGCTAGTTTAAGGCATCCTCCAGTGGTAGGGTGGGGCCATAATGGGGGATCAAAGTTTTACAATAGAACATATACAGGAAATATCTTTAAAAATCTTCTTCAATCTCAAGAACAACAAAGCCATGATCAGTCATATTGATATGGAAGCATCCTCAGGTAGTGTACAATCAAGTTTGTTCAAATCATGACACCCCCCCCCCCCAGGGTAGGGTGTTAGACATATTTAAAATTCTGTTTTAAAGAACAGCAAAATCATGATTAGTTATATGAAGATAGAAGCATCCTCAGAAGGTTTATATTCAATTTCATTCAAAATATGGCACCTTGGGGTAGGGTATGCCTAGAACAGGCGATCAAAGCTTTATATATGAATATATAGGAGAAATTTAGGAGAAGAAATCTGCTGACGAAGAACAGCAGGGCCATATTGACTCAGGTGAGCGTTGTGGCCCATGGGCCTCTTGTTTTTGGTATGTTTCTTTTGATTCTCTGTCCATGGCCGTAGGAACCGGGGGGGGGGGGGGCGCCGCCTCCCAATAATTTTGCCGATATATAGATTACTATGAAAACATAGATACTATATGCCTTTGCCCCCTCAATAAAAACGTCTGATGACTCAGCCTCGTTAAAAAAAAACAAAGTGAAGTATAGATATTGAATATTCTTTTGCTTAAATTTGCTCAAAGTTGTAAGCTCATTCGGAACACTTTTTTTTAAATAAAATATTTCTTAATTATCAAAATTGTTCACTAATTGATGTTTAGATTTTATGTGTTTGTAACTTTTTCTTTCTAATGCATTGGTTATATCTTTGTATCCATGAACAGGCCCATTGGAAGAAATTTCAGAAATTTTCAGTTTAGGGTGGACACTATCAAGGAAAATCAAATTCCTTCTAGAGCATAAAAAAAGTTATCAGAAGTTAATATTTACATGATTTAGGGGATACAAACATGAAATAGCTATGTATAAATCGGCAAAATTATTGAGTGGGGCACCCCTCTCCCGGTCCCTACGTCCATGAAAAAAGAAATAACAAGTAATTTAGTTTATATAGAATAATTTCAAGTCCAAGTTCTATTTTATGTTGATGTCACTGAATTGAACTTTTCTTGTCTCTTAGCAAAAGAATTCATTTCATGACTCAAAGTCATGTTGATTACACTAGATTTTTATGCCCCCGGATCGAAAGATCCCGGGGGTATATTGTTTTAGTCCTGTCTGTCTGTTTGTCTGTTTATTTCTTTGTCTGTTTGTCTGTTTGTCCGTTTGTCTGTTTGTCTGTCAACTTTAACCTTGCCCATAACTTTTGATTGGTTGGAGCTATGACTTTCATATTTCACATGTGTATTCCTTGTGACAAGACCTTTCTTTGAGTACCATCATATTTGACCTTTTGACCTAGACCTTGGAGTTTGACCCACTTTTGCAAAATTTTATGAGACTTTAACCTTGGCCATAACTTCTGAACAGTTGGTGCTTGGGGTTTCAAACTTCACATGTGTATTCTTTGTGACAAGACCTTCCTTTGGATACCAACAACTTTGACCTTTTGACCTTGACCTTGGACTTTGACCTACTTTTGAAAAACTTTAACCTTGGCCGTAACTTTTGAACAGTTGATGCTTAGGATGTGTATTCCTTGTGACAAGACCTTCCTCTGGATATCAACCACTTTGACCCTTTGACCTTGACCTAGGAGTTTGACCTACTTTTGAAAAACTTTAACCTTGGCCATAACTTTTGAATGATTGATGCTAGGGCTTTCATTCTTCACATATGTAATCCTTGTGACAAGACCTTCCTTTGGATATCAACCACTTTGACCCTTTGACCTTTACCTAGGAGTTTGACCTACTTTTGAAAAACTTTAACCTTGGCCATAACTTTTGAATGGTTGGTGCTAGGGCTTTCACGCTTCACATATGTAATCCTTGTGACAAGATCTTCCTTTGGATACCAACCACTTTGACCTTGACCTTGACGTTTGACTTTTATTTAAAAAACTTTAACCTTCGCCATAACTTTTGAACAGTTGTATCTAGGTCTTTCAAATTTCACAGATGTATTCCTCGAGACAAGATCTTTCTTTGGGTATCAACATTTTTTATCTTTTGGCCTGGATTTTGACTTGCATTTGAGAAACTTTAACCTTCGCCATAAGCTGCCATACGGGGGCATCAATGTTTCACAAACACATCTTGTTTTCTCTTGATTCTTCGCCTAAAAATAAATTTGCTCAAGTCAGACAAGCTTTTTAGGAAAGCTAATATTTGTTTTAACTGAGTACTAAATTATCTATTTTGTTGATCCCTGATCATCATATTTCTCTTGCTAGTGGGTAACATATCTTGTTCTTTCAATTAGTTGTTTTTACGAGGGGTTATCAAAAAGTTCGCGAACTAATTGAATTATTTCCTTAAAAGAAATGAAATGAGGTTTCAGTGTTTGTTATTTTTTAAAGCAGTCCTCACCGATTTTAATGCACATCTGCCATTGTTCTGCCCATGCGCGAATCACGTGATCAAGGCGCTCACGTGACATGCTCCGTAGCGGTCCGTTCACAGAAGCCAAAAATTTTTCCGAGTCTTATATTTCTCGCCATGCAAGTTATTTTCTATAACAAGAACAGCCCTTCTGTCAGAAATTGCCAAATCTCGTCATATTTCTAACATTGTTCTATTTTACTCAGGTGAATGTTAAGGCATTTAAGCCTCTTGCTCATTTTCATGTGTAACAATCACTCTGTACTTGATGTTTTACTAATTTGGCATACTAAGTAATATAAGAAAACATGACGTACACAGGATCAGACTCCATCCTTAACACAATATTTGGAATAGATGCAAATATTCATAAAGCAATATAAAGAAAAGCAGGAACCTGACAATAAATGAAAAATACATGTATATTCGAATTTATAAGAAATAAAGAGCTCATTCAGCATTTCTATTGTAGGTATGGATCCTGCAGGACCATTTTTCAACACAAAAGGAAGTGACGCGAGATTAGATGAAACTGATGCCCATTTTGTGGACGTGATTCATACTGACGGTGGCGGTAAGTGAATTTTTTTTTTATTTGTTTATTTGGTTTTGTAATCAATAGACTTTTGTATTATTGGCTAATTTTAAAGAGACAAAAAGATGCTTTCATGCAGTTTTTAACGTGTTTATATTTTATCACAATGCAGTGTTAATTTTGTAAGTAACCCATGGATGCAGTTTTCTGTTTTCTTTTTTCATACCGTAGGTCCCCTATATAAACTTAACCTCGAAGCTTTTTTTGCGAATGTGGATCCGATTTACTTTGTTGAAATGTATAGGTTATGGTGCTGATTCATTTAAAACAAAATTTTAAAATGACAAAACTTGTGACGAAATTTTATGTAGCGAATATACATCTATAAGTTTATTTCACTTAATTTTTGACTCCTTATGTTTAATCATTCCAAGCAGTGATTTTGCTTTAGTGTAAGCTGGCAGTCAAGATTATTAAAAAGTAGTGCAAATAAAACACGTGTGAGAGGTTTCATATAATATAAATTTGTGAATGAACTGAAAATGAGTGCCTAAAAGTAACGTCCTAAAGACGCCTGAAACGTTGTTGTCGTTCGGCAAAAGGCGCGATCCAACTTAACTCTGTGTTTATTATTATTTTAAAGTATTTATACATCTGAATGAATCTTTGAGATGAGTCAAAATAAACTGAAGCAGAATTTCACAACTTCCTATTACTAAAGATTTTATAGCACTGTGATATATTACTTTTGGACCAGCGGTGGGATTCAGGTCTGAAGACCATAAATTGCAAACAAGCAGGCTACATTTTCAGATCAATGTAAATTTCGAAATCATATTTACGATATAATAAAACATTCCCCACGTGTTTGTATTTAAAGACTATACAAACCTGGAATTTTTAAAAGATGTACGGGAAAAAAAGGTATTCTTACAAAAAATGGCCTTAAATCTCTTCTTGGTTTTTGGTCGAGACCAGAACCCACATATCCTATGAAATCATAGAGACGTCGACATGTACATACTCGTATCTTTGCTGTGCATGGAAGATTCATTATAATTTTAGAGAACCTCTCCACCCATGAATAAATCTCCAGAGGATTATAAGAATTATTTGTTTCATTACGTTTTTAAGTTCACCTGAGTCACTCAAGTGACCTATTGCTTTCCGTTTTTGTTCGTTGTCGTGCGTTAACACATGAATATATATATATATATATATATATATATATATATATATATATATATATATATATATATATATATATATAATAAAGAAATAAACAATAATGTTAAAAAGTTCTGTGGGAAATGAACTTGGTTGGTCAAATCCTGTGAAGCCCGAAGGGCTTCTCAGAAGATTTGATCACGTACCAACCAAGTTCATTTCCTAGTGAACTTTTTAACATTGTTGTTTATTACTTTTATTTACATTTGAGACGAATTTTCTGAAAAGAACTGCATTTATTACACGAACGGCCCGCCGTATTGCTATGTTGTGACGCGCAATGACCTAGAAGCTGTTTGGTCTTGAGAGTTCGCCTCGCTCCAACATTTGAATACTTACATTGATGTTCAGCAGCCCAGTTCAGGAAATATCTGTTCATAATGAAAAAAACAATGATCGCTACTGAGAATAATCATACTATTATTGTATGAGTTCTTTATATATGATGTCAAATGCGGTGGTATCGTCTTCAGTTTACATACCTTCAAAGGAATTTCGGGTTAAAAAGGTAAGCCTGATTTTAGGCTAATTAAAAACATTCTTCACACCGAAGAAAGAACTAATGATCATTTGTTGAAAGAAAAAAAACATATATGTTTCAATAATTTTATCTTTAAGTTTTTCATCGCTTTAACGGCTTAGAAGTTCCGAAACCAGTGTCACCGGGACAGAAATATGCAGACAAGATATCATCTCGCTGTGTGATTCGGTCACGCCTTGACCTCTGACCCCCTAATAAGTTCATACAAAATTGAACATATTTTCTTTTCAATAGGTTCATCTAAGAAAAATATTTGCAAATGTAAATAAATAAATAAATAAATAAATATATATATATATATATATATATATATATATATATATATATATATATATATATATATATATATATATATATATATATATATATATATGTTACAGTAAATATAAGAAATCAGTAATTTCATGTATTTCCTAAACCATTCAGTAAATACTATATAATATACAATTATGGACTCTTTCGGTGGTGAATATGGTTTGTTATTCACCAGAAAAATATCAATATTGACCGAGGCGAAGCCGAGGTCAATATTGATATTTTTCTGGTGAATAACAAACCATATTCACCACCGAAAGAGTCCATAATTGTTTTATTATAGAGTCCGGATTTGAATAAATAAAACATTGAAGGCTGCATGATGATACCACTTCCATTTACGATCTTCTGTCGTGGAAAAATAAAAAAATAATGTCCAGATTACAATTTATAACTTCCGTGTTTTCCTTTTGCTGTTTGTAAGACATCGAAATGTTTAGAAAATGATCCTGCGATAGACTTGGCTAATTTTTTACTGCTCATTAACACAGCTGGCTCCGGCCGTTGCAACCATTGTTTACAACGTTGTTTGAGGTGTTGATTGTGACGTCACAGTGCCGCTGCACGTGCACCGACCCTCCGGTGAATACGGCTTCAAAACCAGTGAATATGTAGTGTTATGAACTGTTTGCGTTTGTATAGATTATTTAGAGACTATAAATAGTCTATAAAATAAACTAATAAATAAATAATAAATAGACTATTTATAGTCCCTATATAATCTATACAAACGCAAACGGTTCATAACACTACATATTCACTGGTTTTGAAGCCGTATTCACCGGAGGGTCGGTGCGCGTGCAGCGGCATTGTGACGTCACAATCAACACCTCAAACAACGTTGTAAACAATGGTTGCAACGGCCGGAGCCAGCTGTGTTTCTGAGCAGGAAAAAACATTAGCCAAGCCTATTGCTATTTTCTAAACATTTCGATGTCTTACAAACAGCAAAAGGAAAACACGGAAGTTATAAATTGTAATCTGGACATTATTTTTTTTATTTTTCCACGACAGAAGATCGTAAATGGAAGTGGTATCATCATGCAGCCTTCAATGTTTTATTTATTCAAATCCGGACTCTATAATAAAACAATTATAGACTCTTTCGGTGGTGAATATGGTTTGTTATTCACCAGAAAAATATCAATATTGACCTCGGCTTCGCCTCGGTCAATATTGATATTTTTCTGGTGAATAACAAACCATATTCACCACCGAAAGAGTCCATAATTGTATATTATATAGTATTTACTGAATGGTTTAGGAAATACATGAAATTACTGATTAGGCTAGGAAATTCATGTATTTACTGAAAATTTTAGCCAATTTTACACGTTTTTACTGAACTAAGAAGGATGACTATACATATCATTTAAAATATTTAATAGGTGTACAAATATTAGTATGTATGCTTTTAAAACAGCACTTCATAAGAATTGTTTCTATAAAACTGACATTCGTCATAAATTAGTGCTGATTCTTGGCAAGACTCAGTGCATCGTCTTTCTAAAATTACATTACAATGAGGAATGCTTTAAACTAAGGTTTTTTCTTTGAAATACTGAGTTTATTTCATTATATTGCATTTGTCAAGAGACAATATAAGTTTTATTTGCAAATAAGATGCTTTAGAATTTTTAATTTATCGTCAATAAATGCATTGTAGCATAGTATGAATAACTAATAAGAGACTTTAGATTTTTAAATTTAAGTATAAAAATAACTTTGCCTCTATGTGATAACTATTTCACATCGCTAATGTGTTATGATATAGACAATTCATTCCAGAAAATGAAAGGAGCGTATCATTCTTTTTTTTTTTTTTAAATTTATGAATCATTTTCACTTAATTGTTATTTTAACACTCTTGGACTTTCACATATTTGAAACTTGCATGTAAGTAGAGGGTATTCTTGTCACTTCTACAAGTAGTTATTGAAGGTTTATCTGTATAAAAAATAGATAAAAATTAAAATGTTTTCCGACCCTTCTTGACATGTTTTATTAGATAATCATATTAGGCATTTGTTAACAGTATAAAATTCTAAGACATTTCATTAGCAAATAAAACATTTTTCTCTGAAAAAAAATGCAAAAAAAAAATGCAAAAAAAAAAAAAGAATTCATATATAACAAGAATGTGTGCTATTGCAGGGCAATAGATTATGCCATCCCTAACTAGCCCCTCATATATACCTGGACATCAAGTATCAAACTGTTGGCATACATAATAAGCAATGAGCCTTCTACCAAAATTGTGAAATGCATAAGCCCAGGTTCATGGGGTTCTGGGGTTAGGGCGGGGCTCTGACTCTATTGATGGTTTAGTGAAAATGCACTAATTCTCTGAAAATCTTCTCTGCTCCGGGAAATTTAATAGGCTTAGTACAAAGTTGTAATAAGGAATGGGTATTTTTACCAGATTTTTTTTTGAAATTCTAGACCACTGGATCTATATTTCTGATGCTGGGCAGGGCTTCATTGATCATGTATAGAAATTTATACTCTACTTCGAGAAAAGTTATTCCTTTTTTATTCACGTATGGCAATAAAGCACTGTAAAAAGCAATCGAAATATCAATCGAATAAAAGAATTATGCCAGAAAATATAATGTAGAAAACAAGTAATAATTAAAAAAAAAAATTAATGGTCAGGTAGACATGTTAAGAATAGATAAATAAAAATGAGACAAAAATACCTTGTTTTGTACATTAAGTGTTTTTCAAATACCAAGAAAGGTCTGTCGAATGGGGATTGTGCTGGATTTACTATTCATGCTCAGGCACTATTGTGTTGTTAAATTTTGTAGTAGTAACAATGCACTGGTACATACCGGCAAGTAAATAGATGTTGATGATTACCAGACTATTTTGCAAATACTTAACCATTCTATTTCTGTCGTTTATGAGTAATATATCGTCATCCTTATAGTAACTATTAGTTATTTATTGTCATTCTACTGATCCTTTACAGGATTGTATTATACTTATATGACCGTTAAGGCCCTGGGGTCTCTTGTTACATAATCATGGGGAAAACATAATTATTCCTAACAAATAGTGAATTTAAGAGTTCCAGGGGTAATGATCCTCTGTTGTAAATTTCACCGTTTTCTTTTAATTCCCAACATTTATTTTCATCAAAAATAGAACCGGTCACGGTAACCTAGTGGTAGGGCTCTCGCTTCGTGATAGGGAGGCCCGGGTTCGATTTTCGTTCAATGCACCGCGTCAAATCTAAGACGTAAACTGTTCCTTTGCGCAGTACTAAATGTGAAAGTCGCGCGTCTTTCAAATGAGACATTAAAAACCGAGGTCCCGTGTCATGGTAAGCGTGACACGATAAATAACCTTCACTGCCCAATGTCCTGAGTGTCGAGTATAGGTCTAAATTTGAAGCCCTTCACCGGCATACGGTGACGTCTATATATGAGTGAAAAATTCTCGAATGGGACGTTAACAATGTACAGTTTTGTTTATAAGAAGATAGATATATCCCGATTTTTCACTGTAAAAAATGGGTGCAAGTATTTAAGGTCATATATAATTAAATCTATCAGAAATATTGATAGAAGAAAATATAGGTCAATGTTTGTGTCTGATATTGTTCTGGAATAAACTGACTATATATTGGTCTCCATTACATACTTACCAGAGGGTCCTTCTAGCTTAAAACATTATGACAGCAGCAAATTCTATTTCTTTTTCATAATATTTATTAAACTTGTTACAATCGTAGAGTTGGATTTTATCTTACACTTCAAGATAAGTTTTTATCAGATACCTAGATATTTGAAAGTGAATCATTAAATCATTGATAAGTAAATGTAGATATTAATTTATATTTTGTACTTCTTGATGTGAACATAGGATAATCTGTTTGAATTTTAGGATTTGGTTATTTAAATGCGATGGGTCATTTGGATTTTTATCCGAACGGTGGACAAGAGCAGCCTGGATGCTTGTGTAAGTTACTTAAACAAATTAATATATCCGATCTGTTAATAATCTTAAGTTCATTCTGTTGTTAGTCATAATCTACTCCAGTTTCAGCTACGTGTAGCCATTCTCGAGCTTACGAACTCTTCACGGAATCCATCCTCTCCGATCAGAAGTTTAAGGCCTGGGAATGCGGGACTCTGGATCAATGTAAAACAGGGGAAGGAATAGATACAAACACACCGGAGGACAACAGGATGGGATTCTATGTTAATGATTCCATGATATATAGAATGTATTACCTCAGAACAAACAAAACCTCACCCTATGACATACCTTAATGTTTATTTTTTTTTAAATAATTTGCTTATATATCTGAGGTATGCATTATTGTAGACACCCATTAACCTATTAATTTGTATCATTAAGATGCTTGATGAAAGTCTAATATATATATATATTTATATTTCAAGTGTTTGTTGAAAAAAAAATCTGTTGTTCTTCGTAAGTAAGATTGAAATTTTTAACTTTATATCTGTAAAATTTGAAGATATAGTTAAATGTATATGTATGCATCTATAAAACGTTTTCTTACTGAAATCATTTTGTTCAAATTTCCGGAAATCAAAAGAATACAAATATGAAATGTATGGAGATAACGAACAGTATTCAAGCTCAACAGTCCATTAAACAATACAAATTTTGGATCAGAGCAAACACGGACCTCTAAAACATCAAAGATGGGATCATATGCCATGGAGGAGTGAGCATCCCCCGCCGACCGGTCACACCCGCCGTGTGCTCCTTATCATGATCGGGAAATAAGGGAAAAAAAAACGTCGACAATTCAGTGTGAAAACAATTGCCTAACAATATGTATGAAAAACGTCAGTCAGCATTTGACTGAATGATGAATTGTATTTGCTGACAAGGACATTGTATCGACCATAGAACTTACAAAATGACGACTTTAAACGAGACTGCTGATATTCTTGTTTCATCAACTTGTTTGTCAGTAACTTACATCGTTTTAGAAATTGTTCATACGTAGAGCATGCTCTTGCGTATCGAATCAACTAAGAGGTATAAACCCCGTATGCAGGTGATGAAGGTATATTGCTGCATAAGTAATGGAAGTTGATGATTGTAAAGTTAAAGTCATCACGTTTACTGTAAAGCTTGGTTGTTAGATAACCGTTAACGTCTTTTTCTAGTGAAATTATCCTAATATGAAACAGATGTGTCAGACTCTGTGGTATCTTTTATTTCAAGCTCACCAGGATATATCATATCGACATAAGAATAGAAATAACCAATGTACATTGGCAATACGTCGTCGATATATCTAAATGTCAAGTTGAAGGCCACAGCAAGTGTTTCCTTCTTTTCACGCATAAGATTTTGAACAAAAGGTTAAACTTTCTCAAATGCAAATCAAATATATTGGTACCCAAAGTAAGGTATTGTCTCGAGGAATATACCTGTGAAATATGAAAGCCCTGGCAGCAACCATTTTTCAAAAGTTGGTCAATTCTAAGGTCAAGGTCAAAGTTGTTGGTATCCAAAGTAAGGTGGTCTTGTCACAAGGATTGCATATGTGAAGTATGAAAGCCATAGCGCCAACCGTTTAAAAGTTACAATGGTGATGGTTAAAATTTATTCAGAAGTAGGTCAAACTCCTAGGTCACGATCAAAGGGTTAAAGTTGTTGGTATCCCAAGGAAGGTCTTGTCACAAGGATTATACTTGTGAAGTACGAAAGCCCTATCATCAACTGTTCAAAATTTATGGCCAAGGTTAAAGTTCGGTAAAATTTTGCAAAACTGGGTCAAAATTCAAGGTCAAGGTCAAAAGAAAAAAAATACGATGGAACCACAGGCACTTGTTTCTGTAATAGATTTTTGACCCATAGTATAATAATAACACAAGATGTCCAACTCCGAATTACATGGAGTACCCCCTCCCCCCAGAATCGCACTCATTTACACTTTCAAAGGAAATGCACTGGCAAACTGTTTATACCCATGTCTTTTACGATAATTTATCTACACAACCATATACGGCATGCTTGTCTTTATTATCCCCTCGCGCAACTAGTTGCGGAGGGGATATAGCATCGCTACTGACCGTATGTGTGTGTGTTAGTGTGTTAGTGTGTCCGTTACAGCTTGTGGGCAAGATTTAAAGAGAACCTTTGCACTATCATTTCTCAGCCTTTACCTACTTAAGTAGCATTGTAAAAGGACGAACCCTATTCATTTTCAAGTTAATCGGTGAAATAGTTCTTAAAATATCGCGTTTTTACTACCTTCAAACCCTGCAATTTTATGTACGAGTTGACAATACTCACTTCCGGTAAATGTAACAGGTTAAAATTCGGGTCGTTTCGATAGAGCCGCTTCTGTAAGTTCTACTTTGTATTTGCGTATTGTCACATTATTGTGCGTATCTTGAGAAAGTTTGTATGAATTAAAGAATTAAAAGTGTCATATATGTCACTGAGTAACTGAAATAATTTGATGAACATCGCGGTTTCGATACCAAATTACCACACGCGTGTGTTTACAATAGGGCCCTTGGAATTTAACCTTGAGGGAAACGTAATTCTTGAAATCTATAAATATAAAGTTTCACAAGTTGCATTGACATCTCAACACCGGTATATTGCCATTTTTTCGCTACAAAAAAAATATTACTTCCGTGCGTATTTTCAGATTTGATGCATATTGCGTGCTACTACAGGTGGGGTTTACTCAGATAGGTAAATTAATGAAATTTAGAGCATACGTGATATGTTTCTGCTAGTAATAAGGGAAACTGCCCAATCACGTATGCTTGTTATGACACCCCCCCCCCCCCATGATATCCACCTTGACTTTTGTAAAAATTCAATTAGTGTTGCAATACATTTTAATTTCTTTACCTTATTTTAAACTTCATATAGTAATACTGGGTACCCTTGATTACTAGGCCTAGATGATTGTATCTTGTTTAACGTCCCTCTTGAGAATTTTTCTCTCGTATTGAGACATTGCCATTACAGGTGAAGTTCCTGTCGCGAGGGGATGCTCCGCTTAGCGGTGCTCTTGTTTTCTTTTATCTCCGTAAACAGCGTCAAAAAACTGCTCGCCGGGTGCAAAAGTCAAACTCAACCATGGATTGGTATGTACTAATCCCGGGCAGAGATTTTAATTGGCTAAAAATCTGTTTCTAAAGTTACATCGGAAAAATATCGCAGTGTTTTTATGGAAAATGAGAGGTAAACAAATTTTATTTATTCACTGCAATATTTAAACACTGGTATTGAATTTTTAAACCCACTCATTTTCTAATTTTGCTCTCTGCCCGGGATTAGCACATACCATTTCATGGTTGAATTCGACTTTTCCACTCCATGTAATTCGGAGTTGGATACCTTGCGTTATCATTATACTATGGGTCAAAAATTTATTACAGAAACAAGTGCCTGTGTTACCACCATACTAAAAAGTATGTGCACAAATAACAAGATACTAAAAGTGTAACGTTCTTACTAAAAAAAATTTATTATTAGGCCAAAAAATTAATCAATAGTTTCTCAGACACCGCCGCATCAGGTCAAACACTATTGCATTGATCAATTTTATTGACATATTGAAAAGGGAAATAACTCAATTTTCTATTTTTCCAAGTTGAAAAAGAAAATTGAGTCATTCCCCTTTTCATAAATGCTTAATAGGTAGACGTTTTTAATAGATAAACAATACATTTCTTGTTAATACAGTATTTTATAAATTAACTTTGTTTGGAATAACATTATTTAAAGTTGAATGCATATTATAATTAATGAGAGAACAAAAAAAGTAAGAATCAGTTGATATCATCATTTTGGTGAACGACTGACATGAAAAAAGGTATAACATCTGCTTCAAAAAAAAAAAAAAAAAAAAAAAAAAAAAAAAAAAAAAAAAAAAACTGCCTGCCGCATTGAATTTCGAGATTTTTGGCCTGAGAAACTATTAATTAATTTTTATGGCCTTAATTAGGTTCGCTTTGGTTTCTTCCCAAGAATTCAAAAAACTACTCCAAAAACTTTAACTGTTCAATCACCCGGAATATGAAAGTCAGATCCAGCATTCTAAGCAAGTTTTGTAGTGGTAGCGTGCATGTATGATTTTACATAAAGTATACGTTAATGTTAGATTAAATATCAATTTGTCGCACCATAGGCATTTCGATCGCCTTGTTCGCCAATCCTCTTACTTTGTGATGCTAAAGGGGCATGCTTATCCTGTCAATGTTGATCGAGAATCTGTTTGTTATACCACTTTTCTAAAGAAAGTTCGGGTATGTTATTGTTACCCTGGTCCGTCTGTCCTTCACACTTTCTTCCTCAAATTACTCCTTTTTTTAAGCAGTAGTCAATTATTCTTTTGGAATATGATAGATGCACAGGCACTTGTTTCTGTAATAAATTTTTGACCCAAAATTTATTACAGAAACAAGTGCCTGTGGATAGATGGTGTCCTTTAAATGCGCAATAAGGTTTTGGTATGTTCAATTTTACTCTGGGGGCCATAAATGATGTTTTTTTTCCCCTACAAAAACCTGGTTCCATGAACTCCTCTAACATTTAACCCAGTAGCCATATCACTCTTCTCTTGAAGATGATCGGTGGTATCCTGTGGACATGCAATAAGGTCTCGTAATTTTTATTTTCACCCTGGGGGTTAAAGGTGCTTGGACACAGATTTAAAGTTAAAATTTTCTGTATAATTTCATGACTTATATGTTGCTATAGCATTTCATACTAAAATATAATAAAAATCTTATTTCATCTCGGAGTTATTAAAACTTGGAATTTCTGGACGCGTTGGATTGACACATCATTGCGCTTTCACATATTTTAATTTTATTCTTAATACTTAAGAAAAGTGGCAATTTTGTTGTGTATTAATGAAAAATATTAAAACTATAAACCAAGAAAATTCAGAGTAGAAATGTTAGAAAGCAAAACCCACTCACAGTATTGTAAGTCCGTGCTCAGTTGTGTGTGCAGAGTTTAACAATTGAACACACCCGGTGAATCGTAAACATTAACAATAACATAGCTCGTGCCCTGTTTACAAAAACAGTTTACGTTTCACGGGTGTGTTCAATTTGTTAAACTCTGAACACATCACAGAGCACGGACTGACAATACTGGTGAGTTGGTTTTGCTTTCGAACATTTCTACTCTGAATTTTCTGGATTATAGATGTAATATTTTTCATTAATACATAACAAAATCGCTTCTTTTCTTAAAAATTAAGGATAAAGTTAAAATCTGTGTAAGTACAAAGATTTGTTAATCAAACGCGTCCCGGAATTCGTAGTTCCAATAATTTCCAGATGAAATAAGTTTTTAATTATATTTTCGTGTGAAATTATATTGCAATATATAAGTCGTGATATTATACAGAGAATTTGAGAAAATATTAAGTTTAAATCTGTGTCTAAGCACCTGTAAATGGGGGCCGAAAA